GGGAGCGCAGCCCTGTGAACAGGCTCTTGTTCAGCACCTTCTGGAAGTGCCGCTCGCAGATGTACTGGAGGAGAGAGATCAGTGCACATCAGATGGCCCTGCTCGGCCCAGCACGGCCCAGCACGGCATGGCAGCCTCCCCGGCAGGGGGGGCAGGCTCACCAGCATGGTGGTGCGCAGATCGAACTTCTCGGCCAGCTGCGTGATGTAGATGTGCACAGAGACCAAGTCGGTCCTGTCCGCCTCCTCCACCTCCCGGATGATGTCCGCCAGCCACTCAAACTGCCGCTGTGTGCGCGTCACCCAGATGAAGTAGATCTGTGGCAGATGGGGATGAGGCTCAGAGGGGAGCCAGCACCCTTACGCATGTACCTGGGGCTCCTTCCCAGACAGATCATGGATGATTTTACCCCCAGAGAGGCCAGCAGCAGCAGGAGGCATCTTGGGAGGGCTCCGGCCTTTCAGATGCTTCCTCTTACCTTCTTACACAGCAGCTTGGAGCTTATGGATGACTTGAAGACCAGGTCCTTGAGGATGGACGCGAAGGGAGTCACCCCAATGCCTCCTCCCACCAGCACCGACACCTCAAACTTGTTCCACTCCTGGTGTCCCTCCCCGAAGGGCCCGTCCAGATAGAGCTGGAAGGGAGCCAGCCATCAACAGAGCGTCTCCTGGTTTCTCAGGTCTTGGCCACCTTCAAGGCCGAAAAGCACCTTGGGCTGGGCCGAACCCATTGCCGAGACGCTCTCGGGCTTGGATGTCTCCGGAGTAGCAGCGCAGAGCTCACCTTGGGCAGCTTCCCGATGAGGGCCACGCTCTCTGGGGCATAGAGCTCCCTCAGGCGGGTGGTCCAGGGCCCCACGGCCCGGATGTGCAGGCTCAGCGTGTCCTCGTGCGGCGCCGAGGTCAGGGTGAAGGGGTGGTACTCGGTGGTGCCCAGGGCCACACAGGCGATGCGCACCCACTGCCCGGACTTGTAGTCAAAGTCCTGCGGCCTCTGGAACCGGAGGTGGGTGACACCTGGGGGGGATGGGGACTTTGTTACGGTGGAGCCATTGAGTGAGGGAGATTCCCCCATTGCTGCAGCTCCTGAGGCTCTTGAGAAGAGCCTGGGCTGAGCAGGTGCTCTGTGACCAGGGACAACGTGGTACCTGAGGGCAGGAGCTCGGCTTTCACCACGCTGATCTCCACCTTCTTCCTGCTCAGGCTGAGCAGCTTGTCTGCACCGTAGATGAGAGCTGGGATGATGAAGTAGATGTGGAAGCGGGGCTGCTGGATCAGTGCGTAGCTGCCATGGATGATGACCTGGGCAGGGAGCAGCTGCCATCAGCACAGTGCTCAGCACGACAAGCTGTTGGCCCCGTGGCTGACTTGATGGCAGCTCAGCAGCAGTAGGGAGCTGGAACTGGGGTCACCAGGTTCCTTGGGACCTCCCCAGCTCATCAGCTCGGCTGACCCATGGGCTTGCGGTGGGTCGGCACCACCCCTCCCTCCCAGCCCAAATGCTTTACCAGGACATAGAGCAGCACATAGAGGTGGTGGGTGATCCAGAAGCCTTGGAAGCTGACACGTCGGAAGTGGTGGGTGGCGAACACGTACATCACGGCTAGGATCACGAGCAGCAGCACTCCCGTC